GGCAAATGTCCAGATCTCGTTAAGTCCCCGAAGGGCATGCTTCTTAAAACCCACTCCATGGATGCACTTGTGAATGTTGATCGTGTATTCTCTGGTCACTACCTCATTGATGGCAGAACAGTCCTTCTTTCCACCCTTCTTTGCGGGAGCCATTCTGCCGGGCCCAATTTGGAAAAGAAGCTCAAGGTGTTTCTCAAAGGATTTACATCCACCCTTCCAAAGATGTTCATAAAGGGTGACTGAACACAGAAAAAAAATGAGAGGCCAAATGGTACAATGAAAAGCATGGGTTTGGGAATTAGACAAGGCCTGAGTTCAAACCACAATTGTTTATAAGTTGTGTGACCTTGGACAATTCAATATCTCTCAGGTTCAATTTACCCATCTATGAAATGGGAATACCTTCAATCTAAGGATTAAAAGGGATAATTCCTAAAAGGCCCCTGACACAACACCTGGAAAAAATGGATGCTAGACAAACGGAGACAGATGTTGCCATAACCACGACTGCTGCTAGTACTCCATTTGCCAGGCACAAAATAGATGCTCAACAAATGCCTACTTCTTTTCTTTTTCTTCTATAGAAGGTAACTCAACATCGTGGGCAACTATAAGGTTCCAATTCACTAGGTTAGTCTACTCTATCCTCCCAAAAGTTTTGTATAACAAGAACTTAGAAAATTAAGTGCATATGAATTTCAGAAATGGACTTAATATCTTTATTCTCTAACTTGATATTTATCCTCCAAAGAAAAATTTCACTGGTGAGGTCACAAGTAGAAAAAAAAGATCACTGAATTATGAAGATTCACATAAAAATGAATAAAAGTGGTACTGCTTTAGAAATCATTCATCAAAGATTCCACAGTTATTTTTATTACAATGGCACCATTAACTTTATCCTCTCAATTAATCATTTTTGTAGTATCTTTCATTGGGAAAAAAATTAAGTGATTTTTCTAACTACAACCACACAAAAATCCCAATTTTATACAACACCATTCGAGTTGTCCTGAAGATTAAATGGCACAATGTATACGAAAATGCTTGACCAGATCCTTGGCATATAGTATGCACTCAGTGATAACTTCAATAGAACCTAATCTTATTATTATCCTACATTCCTTTCTATTAATGAAAGAGTTGCTGTAACAGCAATTATAACACAAGATTTAGGGAACTAAAAAACTTTAAAAAACACGGACTTCATGCCAATCCAAACCAGAAAGGTGTTCATTTTAATGTCTCTTAGCTTAATAACGAGGTTTGTAAGTTAAATCAAGATACACACCACTATAATCAAACCAGCATTTCACTCTTCCCCTAAAAAAAAATATCCTTCAACTAAAATTTTAATTAAAGTTTTTCTAAAGGTCAGAGACTTAAGTTCCTCTTACATTCATTTTTTAAAATGCAAATTCCAGAAGCCCACAAAATATAATGGAATTATCAGGACCAAAGTCAAAGGACACTGACACCAGCTCAAATGGAGTGTCCACAATAACCAGAGGAGCCTCTTCATTCAAGTGTGACACCATCCGAGACAACCAGTGTCAGGACTGCCTGTTCCCCATAACAAGTGATTCTTCTCCAATCCTCTGGATTGTCTAGTGAACACTCCTCAGACCTGCTCTCTATCCCTGGCAATCTCCTTTATATAGAGATAACACCAATGCTTACACCTGTCCTGCCAGATAGATACCCTGAAAGCATCTCAGTGTATGGAAAATTAAACATCTCAGATCCATTCTTCCTGTGTCCCTGTGTGTTTTAATGATATCACCATCTTCTCAATCGCCCAAGATAGAATCTAGTTTTTTTTCCCTCACCATCCCCCTCTCTCTTCCCAAAAGCAAACCAGTTTCAAAGAAAGATCTGTCACTTACCTCTACAAACCACTTAGGACCTATCTCAAGTTCTCATTACTGCTGTCCTGCCCCACACTAACTGTTCCAACCTAGTAGCCCACCATCGCTTATGCTTAAAGTGAGTCCACCTACTCTGAAAATTCCAGACAGATAGATCTTGCTATGCATCTCCTTCCCCACTATATGGTCCCCCACTGCCTACCATGGCATGCCAGATTTTCAGAACTTGAAGAACTTTCCTCTGACCCAACCATTCATTCACTTGATCTTGGAAGCTCCCCAAATTCAAAACATTCTGGCCTCACCTTCAAGGCCATTCCTGCTCTGGCTCCAATCTAAAGTCTGTAATGTTGTGAAAACAAGATGAGCTATATATACCATTCCACTACTTATAGGCTAAAAGTCAAAATTCTCAACCCAAGCAACAGGGATCCACATGGCCTGGCCCCTGCTTACCTTGCCGGTCTTGCCATGCTCTCTCTGCTCCCGCCACTTGGCCTTCTACCCAGCCTGCTACAATCCCTCTCATCCCCAGGCCTCTGTACATGCTGGCCCCTTAGCATCTCACCCCTCACGCAAGCAGTAGCATCTTACCCCTTAGATCTCAACTCAAAAGTCACTTATTCAGTCACTCAACCTACCTCCAAACTAAGTCAAGTTCTCTGATTGTCCCCTGCTCTCCACTTCCATGGCCTTCAGCAAAATCATACTAAATGTATTATTGGATGTCTTATTCCCAAGCTAGAATGTAAGCTTCACAAAAGCAGGACTGTGCCTGTCTTGTATCTCACAACCTAACCCAGAATAGCCCTCAAAAAATGTGTAGATTATGTTAATTCGTAAATCAGAACACCCTAAATTACAAGGCCAGCCCCATTACACACTGGTTGAGGAATCACTTGGTTTCTTTGTAACAATAAAGAGCTCATGTTCTTAAGGTTCTCTGAGTTCCTTGAAGATCTGACAGTTCATGAGTCTACAATTCTACTCTTCCAAACTTTTCCCTCATAACTCTCTTCTATATACCTTGGCACCAGCAATACTTTACTTTCTGGTCTCCACAATTCTGTTTGCATCCTTGCATCCATTTGGAATTTTTTTCCCAACTGCACACTTCCAAATCCTGATTAGCCTCAAAAGCTCAAATCCAATGTCACCTCCTCCTCAAAGTCTTCCCTGCATCCTCCAACTGATCACAACCTCTCCACCCCTAAATTCCCATTGGTTTTCCAATGTCTCATTCAGGTCTCAGATCAAATGTCACTTTAAATGAGAGGCTTTTCCTAAAGTTACCTACCATTATCATTCTGTATCAGACTAGCCTGTTTTATTTTCTTGAAAGCATTTACCATTACCTGAAGTTATCTTGTTCATTTCTGTCAGTTATACATTTACTTGTTAACTGCCTGTTTCCTGACTAGAATGTAAAATCCATGAAAGCAGGGACTCTATCTTGTTCTCCGTATTTTCTCACTCCTCCACACCTCAGATCAAAATTGTTCAGTAAAGGCCCTGGCCAGTTTGGCTCAGCGGGTACAGCATCAGTCCCTGGACCAGAAAGTCCTGGGGTTCGGTTCCGGATAAGGGCACGTACATTGGTTGCAGTTTGTCCCCAGCCCCAGGTGGGGTCGTGTGGGGGCAACTAGTCGATGCGTCTCTCTCACGTTGATGTTTCTCTCTCTTCCTCATTCTCTCCCTCCCACTCTATCTGAAGATAAATGCAAAAAAAAACGTCCTTAGGTGAGGATTAAAATAAAAAGCCCTGGCCGGTTTGGCTCAGCGGTTAGAGCGTCAGTCTGCAATCCAGAGAGACCCGGGTTCAGTTCCCGCTAAGGGCACATACCTCGGTTGCAGTTTGTCCCAGGCCCTGGTTGGGTCATGCAGGTGGTAACCACTCGATGTGTCCCTTTCACATTGATGTTTCTCTCTCTCTCCCTCCCACTCTATCTGAACAAAAAATGGAAAAAATGTCGAGTGAGGATTAAAAAAAAAAAACAGTGTTCAGTAAAGCCCTGGCCGGGTAGCTCCATTGGTTGAAGCGTCATCCCATACACCAAAAGGTTGCAGGTTTGATTCCCAGTCTGGGCACATACCTAGGTTGTTGGTTCAATCCCTGTCGAGGCACATAATCAGAGGCACTCAATGGATGTTTCTCTCACACTGATGCTTCTCTCCACCCCCCCCTTCTCTCTAAAATCAATAAAAACATATCCTGTCGTGAGAATTTTTTTAAGTGTTAGTAAATATCTGCCAAAGGCATGCATGACTAGCCCTATGACTGTAGCCCTATGACTAGGGTTATGTGCGTACATATCTTTCTCTTGCCATATTCCAAACTCTTTGTGGACTAGGCCAAAGTCTGGCTAATCTATTTGTGGGTTATTACCTGGAAATCCTTGTACAATTGAAGCAAATATAAATAACTACTAAATAATTAATGAGTGATCTCTCCAAGAGGTAGTGCCCTGAACCAGGCCAACTCAGAACTCTATTCCCCAGAAATCAGGGCAAACAGGAACCTTCTCCTATGCCCTCTCCATGACACTGTTCCAATCTGCAGCCTCCAGTGAACTTCAAAGGGCTAGTTCCTCACTTTCCTTTAGCCAACAACCATTGATTCTTCTATCTCGAATATCTCCCAATCGTACCCTTTCCTTTCTGTCTCCAGCCAACACTTGCAAGGCCCTCCTTTTTTTCAGAGTAACCCACATATCCAATCAGTTGGGGAACTCAGGCCCTAGGGGACAAGGGAATGTTAAAAGGAAGTGTGTAAGTAAGACTGGCTCTCTTTTTCACCTTTTCTTTCATACCTCGTTTATCCAAAAGAGGCCCAGTTTCAGAGACCAGCTTTGATACACTTTGGGACTCTAAGCTTTCTTCCCATGTAGCCCGCCGCACCCCTCTGGGGTAGCCCCACCTTTGCCTCGAACCTGTTCATCTCCCAGTACAGGAAGACCCCAGGCCACGGACGAAGGAAGATCTCCCCAGAAGCAAATGGTCCTCGAACACCGTATGGCGGCCCGACCTCCCCACTTGCTGTCTGGCATCGGCCTCCTGCCTGAAGCAGTCTCGAGCGCCCCTTGGCCTCAACCTCTGGCTGGGCCCGCCGGTCCACCACCCCCTTCCACTCACCTGAAGCGGCCCCCGCAGTGCTGGCACTGGTCGCCCACCCAGCCGGCGGGGCAGACGCACTGTCCGGTGCCAGGGTTGCAGCGGCCGCCGTTGACACAGGGCCGGTCACATTCCTTGGCCTCGGCGACGACTGAACCCGATACTACCGCCGCTGCCGCCGCGGCCTCGGCAGCCCAGGGAAGCAGCAGCAGAGGCGGGAGCAGCAGCAGCAGCAGCAGCTGCGGAAGGCGCAGCCCGGCCCCCAGCCCCGGCCTCCCAGCCCCGGTGGCGTCCCAGTGCCGGAGCCGCCCGCCGTCCCCGCCGGCGGGCGCTGTCGTCGCTGCCGTCCTCTTCCTCAGCCTCGCCTCAGTCGCCGCCGCCGCAGCCACCATCTTCCCGGGGCTGAGACGGCGCCCCGCGAACACATACACACCGGACGGCCGGCTGCTCGTCGCCTGGCCGTGCGGGGCGGGGCCGTGCGGACGGTGGCTCAGGCGGTCAATCCTGAGGCTGGAGCCCGAGCTGCGCGGCAGGCGGGGCCGACGCGTGCCTGCGTGCGTGAGCGGGGCGCGCAGGCCACCGGCGTCCCGAAGACCGGCCTCTGACCCGGAGTCCGGGCTTCCCTGAGACCCCACCCCCACCCCGGGTTCCGGCGCCGAGGCGCCCTGGCGGGCCAGTGTTCGCGCTTCCCCCGGCGAGGCGGCGACGGGGTAGGAGTCCTGAAGCGCTCTCCTCCCGCTGGCTGCCGGGGAGCCGTGCGATCGGCTCGCCAAGCCGGCCGAGTTGAGCGCTGCCCTCCCAGGGAGCCCGGCGCCCGTCATCGTTCCGCCCCAACTCTGGTTGCCGAGTAGAGAGGGCTTAGGAGGCTGCGGCGTGGTGTGGTGCTAGGTGCTGCATTCGAGCCTCTGCTTTCTCCTCTGCAAAACAGGGATCACGAAATAACACGTGTGAAGAACACGGCGCGTAGACTATGCTCGATACGTGCTTAATAGACTAAACGAATACACACAAAGCCCAGCCTCCCTAGATCCAGGCTGATCCAGTCAGTAGCAGATCAGACACCACCCCCCCACCCCCGCCCTTTAATTCTGTGAAGGAAGTTCGGGGTTATTCCCCACTGTTGGCCCTCCAGTAATCTCTGAAGAGGAGGCAGCATAAAATTAGGGATTGGTGTACCCTCAGGCCGCACAAGACAGCCTGTAGACTCCCCCCTCCTCCTTGTCAGATAGTTTATTATTTTGGGACCCCTCCTCCCCCCAGTGAAACGTGCTTCCTGGCAGTATAACCGTGTGTAGTCCTTGACCTGGCATCTAGATTGGGCCTATGTCTCGACTTAACCGATAGAAGAAGGTGGCAGACGTGACAACGTGCCAGTTCCAGGTCTGAGCTTTAAGAGCACCCTGCAATCTTGATTTTGAGCTCTTGATGATCCTGAGCTGCTCCCCCTCTTCTATCTTGCTGTAGAGAGATTACATTCAGAAACAACACTGAGGAAAAGTAGGGACCCGATTTTCACCCATAACTGAGGCCCCAGACACATGGACTTGGCTGGATCCATCCCAGCTGAGGGACCAGTCATGGAGAGAAGAGGCCCACTAGGTTGTTGCAGCCAGCTGGGCTGTTCTTCATAACCTAGAACAGAGACAAGTATTCCCTGCTGCGCCTTATTCCAAAATCCTGAGAAATTATAAAGTGGCTGCTGCTTTAAGCCTCTAAGTTTCAGCGAGGTTTGTTACTCAGCAATACATAACCAGAGCATTGTCTGACATAAGCCTTGTGCTGTGAGAAATATTGTTATGGCAGCTACCTCAGAGTCTGTGCATCTTGCAGTCCCTTGGGAACAAAGAAAGCCCCTCAAATACCTGTGGGACCTCTCAGCTTTACCTTAGAGCACAGAATTCTTTTTTTTTTTTATCCCCACCCGAGGACATTTTTCCATATTTTGTTCAGATAGAGCGGGAGGGAGAGAGAGAGAGAAACATCGACGTGAAAGGGACACATCGAGTGGTTGCCACCCACACGACCCAACCAGGGCTGGGGACAAACTGCAACCAAGCTCCGTGCCCTTAGCGGGAACCGAACCCGGGTCTCTCCGGACCGCAGGCCGACGCTCTAACCGCTGAGCCAAACCGGCCAGGGCAGAGCACAGAATTCTAAGATTCTAGGGTATACCCCTACACTCAAACCCAAGTTTGACCTGCCTCATTCTGCATCCCCTTCAAGCCTGTTGAAGCTGAACTGTACAACAGCCTCACCCTCAGCTCTCCACCCATACATTCCTACTATTCCTACCTGAAACCTATTGTTTGGCCTAGGCCCTACCACTGGCATTCTGGTTTGCAGGTTGTTTTTGCTGCAGTGTCCTACAAGGGGATGTATAGGACCAGGTAGGGAAGTAAAAGACATGGCCCTACCCTCTGGCTAGACCCCAGTCAGATGGGGGAGGCTAATATAAAACAATGCTCTACCCTGGCCAGTTTTGCTCAGCGGTTAGAGCCTCGGCCTGTGGTCCAGAGAGACCTGGGTTCGGTTCCCGCTAAGGGCGCATACCTCGGTTGCAGTTTGTCCCCAGCCCTGGTTGGTCATGTGGGTGGCAGCCACTCGATGTGTCCCTTTCACATCGATGTTTCTCTCTCTCTCTCTCTCTCTCTCTCTCTCTCTCTCCCCCCTTCTCTCCCTCCCACTCTATCTATACAAAAAATGGAAAAATATCCTCAGGTGAGGATTAAAAAAAAACAATGCTCTGGTTCAGAAAGCACTGCTACCCTTACTTCTGTAGTCTAGAAATAGAATCAGACTTTGTCTTCACTCCCCACAGCAAAACTGAACCCAGGCTGTGACATTTCACATTATTTTATCAAACACTCATGAATAGCAGGAAATGATTTGCGTACACAGAAGAGCAATACAGCTGCCCTTGAACCTTGATGCAGCAAACATTCTCATTATTTCCTTATTCTACTCCCTCCTCTTGTTCTTTTTCCTTAGTCTTCAAATATGCTCAAATTCTCTTTCCCTTAAAAAAACAAACAAAATCTTACCTTGACCTGTGAAGGGGAGTATTGCTATCTTCTTTCCCCTTTATTATTGTTGTCAAAGAGTTTCCTGCATTTTCTACTTCTGTGCGGTATATTAAAGATAGCTGCAAATTATTTTATACTCCTTCCATGGAGATATGGAGACTAATCCCACCCCCACCCCCTATTCCTTAAATCTGTACTGGCCTTAGTGTTTGCTTAACCAGTAGACTATGATGGAAACGATGTGCTGGGACTTCTAAGTCTAGGTCATATGAAGTTTTACAGCTTCCTCCTCAGTGTCTTGGAACACCTGCTCTAGGGAAATCCAGCTGCCCGGAAAGAAGTCCAGCTACTTGCTCTGAGTGCCATACTATGAGGAAGCCAACTCCCATCTGTTCTAGGCCCCCAAATGTTTGAGTCTTCCCAGTTGAGGCCCCAGACACTTGTGAAGCACAGGAGTGTCATCTCTGCTGAACCCACTCCAAATAAATAAGTGTAGTTGTTTTAGCCACAAAGCCTTGGGACAGTTTGAGACAGCAATAGATCATCAAAATACTCTGTAACTTGCTTCCTCCCAGGACAAAAATAAGTCTTGTGAGGTAAACTTACATAAAGAATGGCTGTATAATTATGTCTGTGTGTGTGTGTGTGTGTGTGTGTGTGTGTGTGTGTTTAATGTACAGCTAATCACCTATGTATAATACACAGTGGGTTCTGATCTTGTTGGCCAGTTGCTCCTCATGGAAGAAGTCACTGCAGCTCCAGAAGCATTTCTGTTGGACTCTTCATGCTTTATCACCAAGGTTTTATGGATGTTCTACCTGAAATTTCATGCCACCTTCTTCTCTACTCGTCCCTATCAAGGTGGCCCCATCCAGGTCCCAGAAACTAGAATGCCAATGGCAAAGAATTCCTAGCCTTCAATCTGGAACTGCTCTAAGTCCAGACTCTAAATAAGAGACCTCACCAACTGCGTGGCCAAGGAGGTTTGCATCCATTACGATAGTTTGAAAGTACCTCTTCCAGTTTGTGTGTATGTGTTTTAATCTTCATCTGAGGATATGTTTTTATTGATTTTAGAGAAAGAGGAAGAGAGAGCAAGAGAAACCTCAATCAGTTGCCTCCAGTAGACACCCCAACTGAGGATCGAACCCTCAACCTAGGTATATGCCCTGACTGGGAATCGAACCTGCAACCTTTTGGTGTATAGGACGACACTCCACCCATCTGAGCCACCCAGCCAGGGCTGTGTGTGTGTGTGTGTGTGTGTGTGTGTGTGTGTGTGTACTCAAAAAAAGCATTTCTCTGTTTGTGAGACACTTTTGCTCTCTCTGATTTCATGCCATCATTTTTTATATCTTTGCGTGCATTGTCTCCAGGTCATGGACATGGATGTATTTTATAATCCTTGGCTTTTACTCATGCAGTGTCTTGGGTTATTTTCCCTAGAAGCAGAGAGGATTTGAGTGCATAATTTATTGGGAGAGTACTCTCTGGAGACAGGCAATGAAGAAAGCAGGACAGAACAGAAAAGGAAGCTGAGCAAGGAGGTGACCTTATCTGGAGTCCAGCTTCAGCGTGATCCTATGGAGAGCCTTGAATCATGACTTGTACCATAGAATCAATCCCACCTTTAGGCAAGAGGGTCAGCATTTTGTATACATATCTCATTAGCAGCCTGCACTCACAGCAGTAAGAAGAATTCAGTAAAAGAAATCTGGGAGGGGAACCCCAGTAGTCTACTATACAACAGATATTTATGAGCAATCGATAGCAAAGATGAATGCTGCCCTGGTAAAAACCTATCTGATCAGCTGTCTGACCTTCCCTGAGCATCAACAGATCTTATACTTTTAGTCTATGTGGAATGAAGCAATTTCCTGATTATAGATGTCAGGATCTCACCTACCAAGTAAGGCACTATATTGCCTGTGAAAAATGCTGAAAATTTGAAACAAACACAGCTGGGAGGGTTCTAGATAGAAATGAAGTTCCGTTGGGTAGCAGCTCCCATGTGAGGGGTAAGTCAACTTACAAACATAAGATGCCAATTGTCCTTGACAGGCTCTACAGAAAAGTGTTTAGGGATCCTTGACCTGGGAGCACAGGGTTAGTGCCCTGAGTTGTTGGCAGAGCTCCTGGTGGCCTCCATAGACAAGCACCACAAAAACAGGAAGTAGCCTTTTTATCAGTTCAAGGAACAAGACCTTGGGAAGAGATCACCAATTTAAAGGCAGAGCACTTGAAACTTCTACAATAGAGAACTAAAAGGTTTTCCTATATATAGATAAGACATTATGAAAACAGTAGTAGCCTTGAAATCAACTGAATTTGCTAAAGACAGCCATGAAGGACTTTAAATTAGGGATTCCCAAACTGAAGCCATCCTTTTTGATAAATATTTCTCAGAAATGTAGGTAACAACCTGTATTCGTTTCCTGTGACTACTATA